CTAAAGGGCACAGGTGGCAGCGGCCTAACTCAGTTGGTAGCGCACGTTAGTGGTAATCAGAAGACCCTGGGTTCAATGCCGACGACGTTCATTCGATCCCCGTGGCCCCCTGTAGCATGCTTCGGGTTCACCAGCTGAGACAGTTGTCTTGCCCCTCCTGGTTGGTTAGGAGATATCTGTGTCTGCCTTCTAGCTCGTGCCAGGTGTTAGTAATTTGCAGCGGTGCTTAGGCACGGGTGGAGGTTGGTGTCAACCCATAACTGCAACATTCAACGATTCGAGGATTAGGTGGTGTGAGGCATACCAGAGGAGAATATGGCTTAGTCTTATAACTTTTATTATTAGAAAAAAAAGAGGGTACACACCAGCCACTGCTCACAATGTACCCTCAGCTAGATCGTGGCAAGATACGCATGCTTCACATCCATGGCTGCAACATCAACACACATGTGGAAATTCATTCAAAAACCGGAAGACGCTCACACAGAGTGGCAAGACAAAAACAACAACAACAACAACAACATTCGTTTTTCTATTTTCACCTTTTTGAATTGGGACAGTTTGTAAGCAAACAGTCCTTGCAATTCAACAATTGGGGTCTCAAAATATTTTTTTTAATTGACGTCTACAGTGAACCGCACTGCTGTTCTGTAGTAAAATGAAAGCCCCTGTAACGTTGGCCAGTGATAGAGAACATCCTTTTAGAGACACCTCAAAGATTGATCAAGGCCATTAGATGTTGTGGATCCAAGAGCATGGACTCAAATTTCTGCATGCTCTTGTGCGCCACGGCCCGCCACACCGGACGGTTAAGGAGAAGGGATATATGCAGCTGTTTTGTGTGCATGGTTGTAAGGGCCCTACGCCCATATGTGGATGAGCGCATTGAACCCGACAGGCCACTTGTCAGTGTGGTTCCTGGCAGCTCTCAAGTTAAAAATACCCTGCAGTGCATCACCAACCCCCTCACGTGCTCAAGAATAGAAGTTCAAAAAAAAAAAGGAAAGTGCCCATGTTGGCTAGGTCAGGGTCCCATACCTGTACGTGTATGTGTTGTTGGCGTGTGACGCCCTGTGTGCAACCCACGCCTGCCCAACGCCACACAGATCTGCACATCTGCTTTTCAGGCCTTCAGCATATGTCAGAATAAGCGTCCAATTTGGCATACAGTGGTTGAAGCAGGCCACGAGTTCAATGTGTTCAGGTTATGCCAGTTGCATTGAATTTCCTTTGCTGCATACTATTCCATGGAGGTCATGGAAACTTGTCCCGTGGCTGTTATCATTAAATTTTTAGGCCGTTGAAATATATTGGTCTAACGTAGCCTCAACACAGCACAAAGTTTGGGGCACTATGGACAGTGTGATTGAACGCTTTGTTTTGGAAGTCCAATCGTCTGATGCCATGTGAATCATGAAGCATCTTAGGAAGCATCATGGCAGGCCTCAAGCAAACGGGACATAGCCATTATGGTATTTGCCATTTGGCCAGTACCTCACACATCAACATGTGCTGTACTTTTTCTCTGTGTTTCATGCATTTCTCTGATTTTGTCTTTTTCTCAGGAGGTCAGATGGCGGCAGCACTTGCAGTTGGCGTGGGTACGAAACTGCTATCTACTGCGATTCAGAAAATCGGAAATACTGCCTTCAAATTTGCAAAAGCAGTTGGTCACCACAAGGAGGCTTGCCAGGAACTGGAAGCATGTGTTCAGGACATAATAACAATCAGTGATAGACTTCAAGGAATGCAATACACAAAGGACGACATTCAGATGTTAAGTGGCAAACTGAGGAATCTGCACCAGAACCTCGAGACCATCAAGAGTGAATGTCGATGGCGTGGGAGCTGGCGAGCAGTCACAACTTATATTAGCCGTGGCCGCCGTCAAAAGGCATTAACAAAGCTGCAGTCTGAGATTGAGAGAATGGAGAAACAACTTTCCCTATTAATGCAGGCCGAAGCCGTCTTATTGGGCAAGGAAGCCGTCAACATTCTGCAAAATCCCCAGAGCTCAGCAAACTTGCCTACGAAGTGGGAATTTGAGCCAGTCACATCCCGTGACATACTGGTGGGAGCCGAGACTACTTTGGAGGCGCTGCAGCAAAGCTTAATGCTACCCAGTGGGTCAGGAGCTCCACCGGGCTTTCCAGAAGTCGTGTGCCTCCATGGGATGGGAGGTGTGGGCAAGACAACACTCGCAAAGCAAATTCATGATAGTGATGAGGTGAGATCTCAGTTCAATGATAAGATGATGTACGTAGTTTGTGGTGAGGCACGAACTGGCCGCAATATGATTGACAAGGTGTACCAGGTGTGGATGAGAAAGAGAGGTTCTAAATCTGCTCTAGGTCAAACACAGGTGGCTGAAGCAGAAGAAAGCAAGTGTGGACATTTAGTGCAGGAAATGAAGGGCGAGAGATTTCTCATGGTTATTGATGATGTCTGGCAAAGTGACCAAATTGATTGGATTCGCGAGGTTTGCCCTGAGAATTGTAGTGTCATCGTCACAACAAGGAACAGAGAAGTTGTGCAAATCCCTGGGACAGAATACTTCCTTGTCGAACCGTTGAGGGAGGGTGAATCGTTCAGATTGTTCTGTCATTTTGCCTTTGGGAGGCAGGTCCCTCCCCCTGACCTTGAAGATGTGGCGAGAAGAGTATGCAAACAATGTGATGGGCTACCATTGGCTCTTAAGGTTGTAGCTTCAAGCATTTGTCCAAGAAACCAAGACAGCAGACTTTGGGATCGGTGGCTCGAGTTTTTGAAAGGAGCTCACCCTGCCCAATCTCGGCCTGGTGCAGTCGCTGACTTTGACACAAAAGTTATAAAGACACTCCAGAGATCCATTGAAGCTCTTGCCGAGATAGACTCCTCAGGCTGCGTCATGGACATGTTTCTGGATCTCGCTGGCTTTCCAGAAGACGAACGAGTGTCACGTGATTTGGTTGAAGCACAGTGGTCCATCTATCCTTTTGGTGGAGACTCCGGATTGGAAACAGCTAGGGAGAGGTTGAACGCAATGGTCAGCTTGTCCTTGGTGGAAACTCACGGTGACTCATACGTGAGCTTACATGATATGATTCGCAAAGCGGCACTTGATATGATCAACTCAGCCTCCGCACCAACTGTTGCATTGGGAAGGATGAGCGGTGGAGGAGGAGGATCAGTAGAGTGCGCAGATGGATTCAGACAGCGACTATTTTTGCAAGATCATTGCCCTTCTATCGAAGAAGCAGCAATTCACGAATCCACAAGGAAATTTATGTCGAGTACGTCAAGTGGCTCCCCTGAAACAAACATTCCAGATTTGTCGTTGAAAATGCCACACTTGGTGAGTTTCTACTGGTCCTGGCGCCGTGAGGTCTTATTCTTTGTTGATAAAGTTGGGCAGGATGCACATCTATCACATGAGGAAAAGTCAGTGATGCGTGGGCGAGACTTTCTGCAGCAAGTAACTTCAAGCAGCACGCTGCAGATCATGACATTACTGAACTTTCCAAAGCCAAGTGTGCTGCCACATGACTATTTCTTATCCTTTCTGAACCTCCGGGTGCTGTGGGTGGAGTTCTTTGGCACATCCTCTGATGAAAAATTCCCTGGCTCGATCAGACACCTGCAACGATTGGAGGTACTTGTAATTGACTTCAGTTGCAATGCTGCAGCATTTCGGGCGGAGCTTTCCATTAGCCCATTAGCCATTGCCGAACTCCACCAGTTGAGAGTGCTGAGAATGTCTGGAGTTACATTTCCTTTATTATGGAATGATAATCGGGTGTTGCTGTTTCTGCTAAGCTCACCATGTCTGCATCTGCAGGACTTTTCCATAAGTTTATTCAATAAAATTTCCAAGCCCATTGTCCCCTTTCCTTTTTCTGATCACTCTTATCCAGATATCCCCTCCACCATTGGGAATTGGACACGTCTCCGTTCCATCAAATTGGAGGGCTGGCGCCAGCTCAGAAGTTTGCCTGTCACGATTGGATTGCTATCATCCCTCACACGTTTGGAGATTCTATCCTCCCGACTTGAGTCCATCCCTGATAAGATTGGTGACCTCCAAAGTCTCATTCACCTTTCCATCAAATCGGCCACACTATGGGGTGTGCCACCAGCTGTTGGACGTCTTTCACGTCTGACTTCTCTGGACCTCTCAGACTCGTTGCCAAATTCTAAGTCCATTCCCGAAGCTTTCTGGGGTCTGACTCAGCTGCGACAGCTAACCTTGGCAGCTTCTGTGCTTCGCTACCTGCCGGAGAAGATAGGGAATTTAACAGAGCTTAGGGAATTGGATCTGAACTCTTCTCTTTTTCAATCCCTGCCTTCATCAATTGGCAATCTATGCATGCTGACTCGCCTCGACCTCTCGTCGTCAATTTCTCTCCGCGACTTGGGCATGGGGATTTCAGGTCTGAGCAGTTTGAGGTGCTTGAGCCTTGAAAAATGCATGTCCCTGACATTCCTGTCAGACGGCATCTGCAAACTTGGAAATCTGACTCGCCTCAACCTTAGTGACTGTTCGAGGCTGGCTTCTTTACCTGACGACATGGGGTCTTTGTCACAGCTGAGGGTGTTGAATTTGCAGAATGCCTACGAATTGGAATCGCTTCCTGATTCAGTGAGCAACTTGAGTTGCTTGATGGAGCTCAACCTGTCATACTGCACCCATCTTACGAGGTTGCCAACTGGCATCTCAGACCTGAAAGAACTGAAACTGGACGATTGTTTGCTACGATTGTTGAGACTTCAAGATCGTCCTGAACTTTTGCAAGGATGGGTGGTACCTCAAGATCTTCCAGAATGGCTGCAAAAAATGTCGATGCCCATGGAAAGCACTGAAAAATACTCTGCGGGAACCAGTGATCCTCACGAATCAGAGTTTCTGGGGCTAGAGGTCTACGATAACCGTCTTAAGGCATACCGGTGTGCTCAGAGTTTTCGAACATTGTGGTTAATGGCAAGTTATCTTTTAGAGAAAGCAAATGCTGGTGATGTTGTAGCCACCCTCCATCTACTGTATATCTGGTCTGAACTAGGGCATATTATTCCACTTCCTGAGGGTTTTAGGCGCAGGCAAGTTGCTTGGTGCATCGACAGAATCCCCGCTGAAGTCAGCGAACAGACACTATTCCGGGACTTGAAGAGGAAGCATAAGTTTCTATGGCCCCAAGAGCGCCCCGGAGCTTTATTACGGAGCGCGTTGCGGCGGATGTTTAGGCACATGGGGAGCGGTTGATGATCAGATTATGACCGCTGGTGCTGGTGGATTACACCGATCATCTCTTTGGTTTGGGTGAAATTTGCACGGATCATGTTGAGATCATGTTTTTGGGTTTGCTAGGGTGGTTTTATTTTCTCTTTGCTGCTTTTCTTTTATTTTACTATTTCATGATGTCCTGTGGCACCGTTCCGCAGCCAAGAGGGTTGAATTTAACGCTTCATGTGGATGCCTGGGTTTTAAGCAGAGATTCAGACTGGCAGGGCAATGCGACTAATATATGCACCTCTCCACAAATTCGTCCAGAGGCAGGCGTCATTCCAGAGGCAGGCGTTAATCCAATCCTCTTTCCTAGTGGAACCGTGCCGTGGGGTTTGGAATGATAGACAAAATGATAGCGTCGTGCCTGAGTAAGGGATGACAGACAAATCGAGAGATTCTGTGAAAGGGGGAAAAAAAAAAAAAAAAAAAAAAAAAAA